TACATCAAAGTATTTTAATGACACTAAAGTTTTTATTGAAGTATTTCATATTTATAATAAAGGTGATGAAATATTTGATGAAGGAAGAATACTTAAATAAACACCATGGTTTTATGTTAATTATTCAACATATTTAAAAGAAAAAGAGGGATGGGATGTACAAAATAATATAGAATATAAAACCAGATTTGTAAAGCTTAATCGTTCATTATTGAATAACCTTCTTCAGTTTAAAATAAAATAATAGTTCGATAGAGTCAATTACCAACTTGAAGAATTTGTTCCCCAATTATGCCATTTATCACAACAAATATCTTCCATTTCATTCTCATGACACAAACTTCCAATCATACAGAGAGACGTGTCAATACTATGACAAGAGAAACCCCCTTCATAACAAGGGATTGACATTTGAAGTCCACCATCTTCTCCTAATGCGGCAATCGGATCTCTTTCAGGAACAACAGCTCTTGCAAGTACTGAAACATCTTTTTTCTTTAATCCGAAGTTTTTTGACGCTAAATAAGTACCAGGAGGAGATATTCCAAAACTCATTAATCCAAACTCACTTCCAAGAATATTTGCTATTCCACCTCCAAGTGAATGTCCAGCAAGAACAACACTGTATTTTATTGTGTCTTTCAGTTCTTCTTCAACAACATTTCTTGCAGTATTGATAAGATATAACTCACTTCCTGGTAATGCATTTGTACCAAAGTAAGACAAAAAGTTACTGATCTTTAAAAGAGTTTTTTTCGTAAAACATGGAAATATTGCAACGGATAAACTTGGAAATATAGACTCTGAAAATAGTTGAACGTCATAAAGAAAATCAGGAGTTGTTTGTGACCCTCTGAATGTTATTACTTTAGTAGGTGTTCCGTTTACTGTTTTAGTTCCTACTGCATAATGTAATAAATCTTTAACACGTACATCAACTGTCCATCCTTTCTTGCTTAGATTAATATTAGTTGTATTGTATATGTTTGGTTTTGGACAACGTGATGAACCGCTTGAAGAAGATGAATCACTTGAAGAAGATGATTTTTCAGTAGCCTTGGCTTTTGACATTATACAAAAATAAGCATATTCTATTGGAGTAATACCATAAGAATCAACAGAACATAAATGAGAATGACTACGAACCTCGTTGGTTAATGGAGATGGGGCTTTATGTGTAAAATAGCTATTGGCATAATCAAACTCATCATAGAAATAATCCATTCCTTCTTCTAAGTTAGAATATTCTTGAATACTTTTTTTTGAATTATTTGAATATTTTGATATTTTGTTGGAAAAAATAGGGGTAAAGATTATTATGAAAATAACCATAACAATATACATAATAGCTATTAGCAACGTGGAATATTCGAAATTAAATCCAAACAAACCAACTTTTTCTTTTGTTTTTGAAGTAGTGAGAGTGCCTGTAAGAGTACCAGTCCCACTTCTTGAAGCACTAACAGTAACAGCACCTGTAAGAGTATCAGTATTACTTGTAATAATGCCTGTTAGATTACTTGTAAGAGTATCAGTATTATTATCTGTAAAATTAATTGTAAGAGTGCCAGTTGTATTATTAGTATTATTAGTATTATTAGTATTATTAGTATGATTAGTATCAGTATTATTATCTGTAAAATTAATTGTAAGAGTGCCAGTTGTATTATTAGTATTAGTAGTATTTGTGCTTTTTTGTTTTGAATTTTCTAAATCTTCTCTTAATTCTTTTATACAAGAAATTAATCCAACAAAAACGATTGAACCAACAACAAATAAAATCCAATACCCAGCCATATGATTTGAAATGCCATGTGCGTCTTTAGTCATAAATCCTAAACAAATAATAAATAATATAAATAGGACGAGTTGTAAGAAAAAAATAATGGCATAAAAAAATATGTAAGGCGTAAATTTCCATTCATCTCCTTCTTCACATAAGTTAAACCATAAAACCACCTTTTTAATTAACTTTAAAAAACAAGAAAGAAGTGGAAGAAAATAAGGAAGAACTGACAATACGTAGAGAGCTATATCTTTCCAGCCTGAAAGACTTAGCTCATTTTTGCTTTTTTTAATTTGAAGTATTAAATCAAATACTATTTTGACAATAAGCATAAGGATTAATACAACAGACCCAACGGTTAAATATGATATACCGAGAAAATCAATAAAATGCTCTTTTTTATAATCTTCCTTATTACTTGCTTTTTTATGTTTTCCTTCTTTACATAGACACCAAATAAGTCCAACTAGGAAACTCAAAAGGATAATAATTACTACTACAAGACAAATACGGAAAAATTTCTTCTTTACAAACTTAAGAACATTGTAAAACTTATTTTCTTGTCCGCTAGTAATTTTTTTGTTATTACTTTCAAAATTAAGAGTTATATTTAAATCTTCAATATTTTCATCAGTGGATTTTCGTTCTTTTAATTCTATTCCATTTTCATCAGTGGGTTTTTGTTTTTTTAATTCTATTCCATTTTCACCACTTCCTTTATTCTTCTTTTTAGTGGTATCATTGCTTTCTTTTTCAAAACACCTATTTACTAATGAAACAAAATTCATAAAAAAAGAAGACATATATCCTATTGCAAATAAAACGAAAAGATATATTGTTTTCACTAACAGAATAGAACCGTAAATTAAAACAACTATGTTGGCAACTCTGTCGAAGGACCAAGCTTTTTCAACCACTATATGTTCAACAGAAATAAAAAATATTACTAATATTCCAACTAAAATCATTGTTATAAAGAAAAATAATTGTACAAAACAACCACTTATTAAAACCATTATTGCTTTAAGAAATGATAAGGTAAATGCTTTCCCATAATTTATTAGAGTATCTGTAAATTTACTACAATCCATAAGAATATTGGAACTTTTAGGTTGTGAATTTTTTTATATATACCCTAGTATTTAACATCATTGAACTTTTTATAATTTCAAGTTATCTGTTTGAAAATGAAAATACTTTTCGGTTTTTATTTAGTTACATACAAATAAGTTAATGGTAGTTTTTCATTTAAACCATCATCTTATTTTTATCCGGTAACACCAAAAATAAATTTAAAGTACTTCATTTTATTTTTAGTGTTAATGAAAAATGTAAGTTATAGTATCTAATAGATTGTTTTTTGATAAGATATTTATAAAAAAAATTATTCATTTATTTACATTTATTGAGAACTAAAATCAAACCAATAAAATAATAATAACATCTGGTTTATGTCAAATAATCAAACTTTGACTAATAAATCAAATTATTCTGCACATAATTAAGCAAAAGTAGTTAATTAAGTATTAATAGAATTTGTATTTATTATTTGTTACTCAGTGAAAACTAATCTCATTAATAAGTCTTCGTCATGTAGTTCAAAAACATATGTTTGGTTGTGGTAGAAACAGTGTTCCATGACGTCCATCATGTTTTTAATTACATGGTTTTTGATTTCTTTAGTGATGTCATTTTCGATTTTTAATTGTTTAATTATTTTAATACTTTCAGCATTTACTACCCCATTAATCAAAATTACTACTGCAATTATTTTGACATCCTTTAATTTCTCTATTTTCATTACCATATTTTTTAATTCTTTATACATATTTCTTTTCTTCAAATACCCTCCATTAATATTATGATCTGCCACAATAGTCATATCAAATATTAGACCAGTTTTATTCTTTTTATCTAGTACATATATTTGGTATTTTATGATATTATCATTCACTTTTTGGTATTATTTGTTTGTTCAATATCATAGTGATGTCATTGTATTGGAACACTGTTTCATATGGGGGTTTCTTATATTGTTTATTTCCTGTGTATTTTCTTATTATCCCATATGATGATGCCAATATGGTCATGTTTCTCAATTTGTGATTTCTTATGACCAATACAAGATAATAGAATGTGTTCTACTGTGGATATCTTGTATTTACAAAGTGGGCAGTATTTTAATCTTTCATTTTTTAATATTTTTGCTTTCCTGTACTCACTAAATATTGCTCCATCTTGTATTTTAGTTAATTGGAGAAATATATTTTTCTTTATATTGATGGACTTCCATGCATTTATTGTAGTAGTTTTATCTACAAATTTTGACTCGAACCATCTTCTAAAATGTCCACTTGTTTGATGGGACTTCCATTTTTTGATGTATTTGTTGGTCATTAATTTCTTTATTTTTTCTACTACTTCTTTTTTATTTTCAATCCCTTCATTTATTATTTCTTCTATTTGAGTCTCTGGGATTTTATGACTTAGTGCTTTTTTAATTCTATTCCATATTCCTTTCTTGGAATACCATCTATCTATTATGTTATTTCCTATTTCACTCTTGTACATTAGTACATTACTGTTCTATTTATTTCATTAACATATTCGTCAATTAGTATAATTATTAATCATTCACCAATTTCATTTATATTGACATATAGACGGTCTTTGGAGTTACCGGCACCAATGTATTTTGCCTTTCTTAAATATTTTCTTATCTCCAAATCCATTCTATCTAGGTCAGTTACCTTCCAATTTACTACTGATACTGAATATCTGAAGATGGGTATTACTTCAATATTAATTCTTGTAATATATCTTCTATTACTACTTTCATCAGTATTTATTTCTTCCATTTTCTTCATCATCTTTTATTTGATGATTTTACAATTGAATATATCATTAATTTCATCTGACTGTCATACTCCTAAATATTTATACAAGTCCTCTCCTTCAATTATTGGGATGTTTTGCATTCAATCTGCTATTTTATTAATGTTCTTTAATACCATTCCTGATTTATTTTCATTTCTATCCCTATTCCACTTATTATTTCTTTAATTTCATTGTGGATTGTTCCCATCTCTTCATTACCTTGTGTCATTATTCTCAATTCATCCATATACAATGTATGGTTTGATTTTGTGAACTTCTCTTCTATGATTTGAGAAATTATATTCATTTGGATGATGAAGAGTAGAGGGGATAAGGAATCACATTGTAAAATTCATCAATTTAATACATCCTAGATATTCATTATATTTATGTCATATGAATATCTTCAATCTGTTCATCATACTTTCTACAATGTCTATGATGACACCCTCTACATTAAAATATTTAAGTGTTTCTATTACCTATTCATGATTTACTGATTCATATGCTTTCTTAATGTCATAATATGACTCTACATATTTTGTGTATTTTTCTTCTTTTTGCTGCTTTAACATATAACTATTAATTAATCCTTCTTTAGCAGCAAGAGATTGCAGTTTACATCCCAATTGATTTTTACTAATTTTTAATGATTCACTATTCATGTTAATTCTATTGTGAATCTTCTCTTTCAATATGGAGGTAAATACTTTCATTCTTACATTTGTACAACTGATAGGACGATAATTAGTGACATCGTTCATATCACCTCATTTGTTGATTAATATAGTTCTTCCACTTACCATGTCTAGGGGGATGTTTTCTGGGAAGTTTAACCATTCATTGAAGATATTAAGAATGGAATCTCTTTGATGATGACATTCTCTTCCAATAATACAAATATATAGTGTCAATACCTGGTGCTTTCCAATTACTTATTTTCATCAGGCTTAGATTTAGTTCATCCAATGTGATGATGACACTATCATAATTTCTGTATCTTTCATTCCACGAGGTGATTTGTTTTATTTTCAAATGTTCTTTATTTAATATCACCTGTGTTTCATATAATGATTTCCAATATTCTAAAATAATATCGTTATTTGGGTATATTTCATTTTGTGTTTCTTCTTTATTTTAATTTTGTTATTAGAATCAAACATGATTTTATTTGTATTGATTCTGACCCTTTCATTCTTATTAAATTTAATTCTTTCTTTAATCATTGTCATCATATATTTTATGTACTTTATTCTTTCTTGTGCTTTCATTTTAATTTCATCTGCATCTTGTTCCTTTAATCTCATGATGCATTTTATTCTGTACTGTTCCATTGATTAGATCTTCTAATCTATTTATTTTCATTAGGATTTCTTTTACTTCATCAAATTTATCTCATTTAAATTTATTTTGGAGATAATAGTACATACACATTGAAATCATTTTCATATCTTCTTGTAGATTTTCTATTCTCCTGACCATACCCTTTTATTATTTATTTCTCTTATTAATTTATCTGTTTCTTTCATTTTCCAGTAGTAATTAATATTTACACATTTATCTATTTTCATTTCTTTAACTTGATTGATGATAGAGTTAAGATATTCATCATCAATATCAATAGTGTTATTTTTTATGATAATGTTTTTTATTATTGGATTGCACTCTACTTTCCCTTCTATGATGGAGTTCACTTTCATTTTAATATATATTTTAGTTGTTTATTTTATTTTATGTGATATTTTAATAATATTAATGTATTCTTTATCATTATTTACATTAATGTTTATTACTTTTATTATATTTTCTATTTGTTCCCATCTTATTTTCTTATTTAATTTCTTATTTAACAAATTAATTGCAAAACAATACAACACATCAATTAAAATTCTATTTGTTTGATTTATTGTGTTTTCTTCTCTTCTTGACTGATTATCATTTCTTGTTTTTTGATACTCAGTGTTTTGCTCTCTTCTTCTTCTATTTCCAGAATTGTCTTTTTCATAGTTGTAGTTTGGTTCATTTGTATTGTCCCAGATGATGATGTTCTCAGTATTTGTTGTGTATTTATCATTAATATCATTGTTTTCTTCTTCTCCAGTTCCTTCTGGGATAAAAAATTTTCGATACTTTCTTGTTGTTTTGATATTATTTGATTTTGTTCTTCATTTTCTCTTTGTGTGTGGTCTAATTCTTCTTTTGTTTTTTCTGCAATCTCATAGTTTTGAATCGCACTTTTTTGATATACAGAGATTTGATTTTATTTATCTCTTATGTTCTTCAACAGCTTAGCACTCTTCTCCAGCTCACCACCTTTAAGGACTTCGTCCTTCTTCAGCTTCTCATAGCTAGCTCGGAGGGTTCGGATGATTTTATCCTTACCTCCTAATTTAATGTTCCTTCTACCATTTGTTTCATTTATTTTTCATTGTAATGAATTATTTTATTATTTTAATTTAGAGTTTTCTTATTTCATTACATGTGTTTTGAATATTGTTTATTTGTGTTTGAATCTTTTCTATTTCTTCTTCAAACTCTTTCCTGACTGTTTCTCGTGCTTTTTGAATTATTTCTTCTGAAATGGTTCGTTCTTATTCATTCTTTTTTGTTTGGTATTATTTAATAATTTCTTCTAATTCTTTGATTTTATTTTAAAGTGTGTTAATTTCTTCTTTGTTGCCTTCTTCTTCCATTTTCTCTTCTTTATCTTGTGTTTTCCTTTTATTTTCTTTTTCATTTATTATTATTGCAGCTTTACATCTATCGTTCATTTCTTTGATTCGATTTTTGTTTTTGATTTCTTCTTCGATTGTTTTAATATCTTCACTTTTCCATTCTTTTGTTTTATCTTTGATTTCTTCTTTGTTTTTCTCTAGTGTTTTCTTCTTTCTTATTGAATATACTTCTTGGACAATATTATACCATTTCTTTTCTTTACCTTCATACTTTTTAAGTATTTCTGAATATTCTCCTTTTTCCCATTTTCTTGTTATTCTTTTAATTTTCTTTTGAATTTCATTTGTTGTTAATAATTTAGATTTGTTATTTGTATAATGTTTATTATCATTATATTTACATTGTTTCTTATTTGTTTTTATTTGTGTTCTTCTTTTTCTATTCACTTTTTTCTTGTTATTTTTTTTATCATAATTATTATACATTTCATTGTTATTTCATTCATTCTTTTCATTGAACTTGAATACCTGTTTGTTGATTGATGTTCTTTACAAGACTCTGTGGCATTACTCAATAAGTATGGCAACAAATATGATGTATATTTTGCATTGATATAAGGATCCAACTAATTTTCATATAATTAATTAAATAAGATTTTTTACATACTCCAAAAGAAATAAAGAAAAAGAAATATGAGAAAAACCAATTAATTAAAGTAAAAATGGAAGAATAATACTGAAAGTAGCAATTGAGAGGAATGAAACAAAGCCATTAGTATTTGATCCGTCATCATAAATACCACATTGTTGCCATGTACCATCATTACAAACATTACATTTCCATTCTTGATCACGATCAGTTATTTCATTTTTACTACAGTTCTTATTTGGATAAGAATTTAAAGTCATTGAATTATTATATATTTCATAATTCCAATAACCATCATCTTCTTCAAAACAATTACTAGTGTAATAAATCCTAACTGTATTATCTTTGTAAGCACAGTCATGGTCTTCTTGTCCTCCTTCAAATCCAATATAATTTGGTAATGTTTTAATTTCACCGTTACAAACAAGTGTCTCATCGCACATATCCTTTTTAAAATCTTCATCATTTAATTCATATGTTTTTGTGTCTTTGTTTCCTTTACACTCAGGTGAATCATTGTAATATTCTACTGTTATTGTTTTTCCATTGTTTATTAGATATTTTGATTCATCATCTCTAAGAAAATAACATTTGTTAAATTCTAATCCAATAAATAAGCTGTTTCTTCATTGACTCCTTTTACTATTTCAATAACTAATTGTTCTGTTGATAAGACAACAGTAAATAAAACAATGAAACAAATAAATTTCATTTTTAATATATTTATGAGTTATTCTCTTTCTTCTCATTAAATATCTCATTTTGTATTTTTTTCTTTACCCCGTTCGTTTCTTTCATTCACATTTCTTCTTCATTCCCTCATTTCCTTGTCTTATTTTTATCTTTTTTGTTCTTTTTTTATTTTGAAATAACAAATCCCTCTTTTATTATTTCTTTGTTGTTTAAAAATCTTCTATTATCATTTAAATCACAATTAATAACTAACTTTTTCATACTAACGTTCAGTAATTTTTTATTCAATTTGAGTTTAAATTCAAATATTTTTTTATGTAAAATAAGTTCTAATCGAATGATAACTCTGAACAAAAATACTCATAACGTTTTCAATTAATTAGTTTTTAATAAATAAAATTATTACAAAGATAGATTTATTATTTTTTATTCATTTGGAATGATTAAAATAGTTAATTGAAAAAAAGATTTTATGAATACATGTAGTTTTATTATAGCGTGCTACAGCACAATTAAATTGACTCCATCGAATTATTTAAGAATACAGTAGGTGAAGTAGGAAGTGGTAGGTAAGTAAGGTGTCGTTTTTGTTAATATAATTAATAAATGTAGTTTTCCTTCTTTTCTTTATTATTCTTTTAAATTATTTTACTATATTATTTTACTATATCATTTTTTTCAATTAAAAAATAAAAAGAATTGAACTGTATTCATTTATTCTTTCTTTATTTCTTATTCTTTTATTCTCTTTACCTTAATTTGTACGGTTAGTTTAAATTACTTATTAATAAAATGCAATTTCATTTAATGTATTTTATATTATTAATGCAAATAGTATTTCTTTAGGGTAGTATGTGATAAGTTGTGATGTTAAGAGAATTGAATGTCATAAATTTAACAATTTATTACAAAACCATGACCAAGAGAACTATCATTGATATAAATATAATTCATGATTATACTATTGCCATTACTGATATTAATTGTTTATTATTCTGATAAGTGTAATTACATTTATTACCATTATCATTAATTTGCATTTCATCATTGTTAAATAATAATTTAGATTGAAAGACATAACAAAGTGTGACAAAACAATGTCAGTATTAACAATCTTATTAAAACTAAGACTTATTTTTTGTATATCATCTGATACAAATATTATGCCAATATTCGGTGTGTTATAGTAAATATTTTTGATAACCCACATTTAACTCAATAGTTAATTAATTCTTTAATTTAAATGAACATAATTTTGACCATTCATTACAACAATTAAACAAATCATAAGTGAATGGACATTTAATGAGATTTCACTAATATTAAATCTTTGATTATTATTCAAAATATTAAATAACAAAATATAATGAATAGCAAAATAAATAAAAAAGAGAATATTCTAATTATAAAAATAAAATAAAATAAAAATAAAAATATAATAATAGAATTGTTTTCTAAGTTCTTTTTATTTTATTTTTTTGTTCATTCATTATTAATTTATCAATTCTTCATGTATTTATATCTCAAAGCACTTTCTTTAAACATCATTTAACTTTTATCAAAAACAACTAAAATTAGAAATTCAATTAAACAAAACATCTAAACATTAATAATGAGTATAGAAGGATTGAAACAAACTAAATTACTTTTAATTGGAGAAATAGGTGATGGTAAAAGTTCATTAGGTAATTTTATTTTAAAGAAGAATGTTTTTAAAGTAAGTGATAGTGATGAATCGAGTACAAAATACACTGGTGGATATTTTGGAGAAGGTGATAGAAATGATGTATTTGTTGTTGATACTCCTTGTCTTATTGATGGTAGTGGATTTAATAATAAAAATATTCAAAATATTATTGAATGTGTTAAAAACACAAGATTACAAGGAATTGTATTAACAATGAATTATAATGTAAAAAGATATTGTGATAATCTTAAATATATTGTTAAAGTTATATCTGATACTTTCCCAATAAAAGATATTTGGAAACATGTATGTATTGTATGGACTAAATGTTATAACTGTTATTCACAAAATCAAATTGAAAAAGATAAAATTGAGAAAAAAGAATTTAAAGAAGAAATGATTGAATTTATTAAACAAACAAATAAAATAAATGAAAATATTGATATTCCAATGTATTATGTAGATTCACAACCAGAAGAAGATAATGATAATACAAGATCAGAAGAAGAAATAATAAAATTAATCAAATGGGCAAGAGGATTACCATCAATTGATAAAGAAGAAATAAATAAATTAATAAATGGATACAAAGAAATTATTTATGAAGAAAAAGAAGAACGTGAAACAATAGAAGAAACAATACTTAAGAGAACATATAAAATAACAAAATATATAAGATGTAAGAAAGTAAAGAATAGTGGAGAAGTTATTTATGGTGAAAGTACTGAAATTTGTAGTAGAATTATAACAGAAAACAAATATAATAAAGAACCATCAGAATGTGTAGTGATGTAACTGAAGAAACAATAACACTAATTCAGTATTTAGTTAATTGAAATAAAATACAAAAATCAAATGAATTAAATTTCATTATGGTTAATTTAAATAAAAAACAAAGAAATAGATAATAAGAAATAAAATAAACATAAATAAAAGAAAGAATAAAATTCAAATGAATAAAGAAGAATGAGATGAATAAAGAAGTAAAATAAAGAATATAATAAAATAAACAAAGAAAATATAAACAAAGATAAAGAAAATGAATAAATAAAAGAATATGATTAAATTAATTTAATATAAAATTAATTTAAAAATGAAATAAATATAATTTATTATTTTATTAAATTATTGATATTTTATGATGAATATCATAAATACATTATTAAATTATTTATTAATACATTTATTAGTTAAATAATTGATGAAATAATATTAATATTGTATAATAAAATAAATGAATTAACAATTAATAGTTAATTTATATTTAATTTTATATTATATTATATTTCATTTATTAATATGATGTAAATTAACAATTTATATTATTTTATATTGATATTAGATTATCATAATCAATCATATTCATTGATATTAATAATTATATTTTAGAATGATGAAAATCAAATAAAAATAACATCAATAATAAATAATATATGATAATAAAGATATACATTGTTTTATTTAATATATTATGGATAAATATAAATTACAATCATTCATAAATTATGAAAATATATGAAAATCAACATATGAATATAAAATAATATCAATAATTATATAATAATTATATAATAATCATATAATGAAAATATAAATTAAATTCTATGATATACAATTAATATGAATATATTAAATATAAATTATAACAACTAATGTTTATTATGATTTAAAATTAATTATATATTAAACAAAAGAAATAAATAATGTTTAAATATAAATATAATTTGAACATTGAAAATATGATGATAAATAAATTGAATATCAAAGTATTTATTATATTTAATTTTATTTTAAATATCAGAATATCATCTTAATTGTATTCATTTAAAAATAAATATTTCATTATAATATATTAATCATATAAAATATGTCATTATCATTCATAAATAAATAATAATATAACATTTATATTATTATTAATATGAAATATTAATATTTCATCAATAATTATAATAAATAATAAATTCAAATAATAAAGTGTTAATAATAAAATAAATCAAAACAATAAACAAAATAAATAAAAAATGAATAAAATAAAATCACTATAAAATAAGAAATGATATAAGTAATTTATATTCATTATATTTATTTATATTATTTCATTATTATCCTATTCTTTATTTAAATAAATCAAATAATGTGAATAATTTTATTATTATTAATTATTGTATTAATATCATTATTATTGATTATTTCTTCTTGATTCTTTTATTTATTATTTATTATTTTATTTATTTATATTCTTTCATTCTATTATTTTATTGTATTTTCAATATTATTTGATTATTGTAATATTTATTATTTTATTTCTTTATCTTCATGTTTATATTATTCTCTTTTATTACTTCTTCTTATTAAAATATTTCATATCAATATTATTTGAATATTATTATGATATATATTAACAATGATATACAACATTTAAATGAAATATTCTTAATTTATGAATAAATTTAAATAATAATTATGTTAATATTGTATCCATTTTATAAATTTATCATATTAATATTTCATATCATTCTCATTTATAACTATTGTTTGTGATTTTAATTTATCAAATTATTTCATTTATTTACTAACTCTGTTATTTGAAATCATTTTAATTTCATTTATAAGAATTACAAGATTTAATGATTAAAATATTGAATAGATATATTAAATAAATTATTGTAATGAAATTAAATGAAATTATAGAAAATGAATATTAAAAATATTTCATTATCATTTTATTATTAATTAATATTGAATTGGAAATGATGTTATTCAAATTAAGATTAAATGATTTAATTATTTGTTTTATTCATTCTTCTATTCATTATTCATTCTTTAAATTAAATTCATTCTTATGAATATTTTATTAACAAATTAAATCAATTTCAAAAAGATATCATTGTTATGATATTAAGAATATATCAAATTAAAAATATGAAATATAGAATAATAAGTATGTGTTTATTGATTATTGTAAAACATTATTTATTAATTCGTGTG